CGGACTTTAGTAGTACTGAGCTCGAACTCGTGACAAGGCAAGCCACGATCCGATACTTATACCACTCGACTACCGCAGCCACATGAAAAATGTGTTATATTGGTAATCTGAAAACATCATTATAAAACTTTAAATTATTTTTATTCAAATATTAACACATCGAATATATTTTAATTGAAATTAATTTACAAGTGCAATCATTGTTCCAATAGTAAAACGATTTCAAATGCAACTTTTGAGGTCAACATTTGTAATTTACAATATATATCTACGATTATTTCGTTTTTAAATGTGACATTCTATTAATTATGGTAATATTTGTAACTAATTTGGATATTAAGTTACGAATTCAATAGATATAGTTTTAAATCAATACGAAAAATCCTTCGGTATATTTAAGACGAACAATATAGCAAATTTAAAATTTAAAAATCAAACCAATATTTTAAAGTATATGAGTAATTCTTACATCTATACATCCAAATTAGTACAACATTATAATTGCATAAATTATTTTTAAAAAAAATCTCTCTCTCTCTTTTAGAATACACATAGATGATGAAAGTTCTCGTTTTAAAAAAACCACCTGTAACATGCCTGTGAAGAGAAATTCATCTCTCCTTGTGAACTGGATTATCAAAATATATGAGGAGTATTTCATTATATTTTAAACTAGGTAATACACTTAAATTTAAAAATTTAATAAAATTGGAAAAAGAAGCTAGTTTACGAAAATGTATGAAATTTAATAGATAAAGTAAACAGCTTATTTTAAAACTGAAGTCATCAATCAAAGATTTTAAGTTATAAATAGAAAAAGTGGTTGTGCAAACAGAAAAATATATGTATATATTTCTGAAGGATACAGCTATACATTTTAAAGATGGAGAAATATTCATTCTTAATTAATAATTACTCGGAGCAATGTATCGTTTTAAGTTATATAATATGCGCATATATATTACTCTAGCTATTTTTGGGCAGTTAATGTGGCAACCTACTACATTAACTAATGGTATGCAATGCAACTAATTCAATAAGTAGGAAACACATTAGTGAGAAGCAAAATACTTATTTCCATCTTAGATAATACAGTTCAGACTTTAATGGGTCTAATGAAAAATCTGAATAAATTTCAAGATATGTTTTAGTAATTTCCTTGTTCTTTGTCTTTGCTGAAAATTCTTAATGGATTTTGAGAAGAACTTCTGTGGAGCATATTTGAAATTTTGATAAACGTTTACTGCATTCAAGAAAAAATCTTAAAGATTGAATTTAATTGGTATGATAAATGAACTATCATTTGGGATGTTATATATATATATATATATATATATATATATATATATAACTTAAATATTTTAATTATAACTGAAGAGAAAATACAGACCGAAGTTCCATTAAGTAAAACTAAAATTCCATAAAAAAATTACAAAAGATAAAAATCTAAACAGCAAAAAATTAAAAAAATACATGAGATTGATAGATTGATTGATTGAATATTAACGTCGCACTGTTCAGCTACACTAGGGCTTTTGGTGACAGACCACATAATTTTGAACCATGGTCAAGTGACGTGGACGACACCTGAGCTGGCACCCCCTTCTCCTAACTACCACACCACACAACGGGGGGACGTTTCAGCTCTCGACAGATTTAACGTGCATTGCTGCCCTACACGGCGGGTCTTTAGTGGTACTGGGCTCGAACTCGTGACAAGGCAAGCCACGATCCGATACCTATACCACTCGGCTTCCGCGGCCACAAAAATACATGAGAGTATCCTCCAAAATGTGCGCAAAAGAAGAGCATATTGGGAAAATTACATTCCAGAATACGTCATATATCCAACTTAAATTGTACTCCTTTTTATTATATTACATCATATATATAACTAACCTCTATATTGCGAATTTTTCTATTTAGCGATTTTTTTCATGGAACCTTGCACATTTCACTATTTTCTTCGTAAAATAATCTCTCTACAGCGAAGAGCATTTTCTTTATAACGATTTTTTTTCTTTTTGATTCAATTTTTTTTCTCCTTATTTTTGAAGTATTTCTGAACTTTTCAAGTTATTCTCTCTTTAACACATTTTATGGCGGACATAAATCTTGAACTAGTTTTATTAGATCCTAACTCACACCGAGAGCAATAGAGTTCTGGACGTTTCATCCAAGAAATTCAGCTTTTAACCCCAGTTGTCCTGTTCACTAGAAACATCTTCGATATCAATGGCACACTCAGTGGAGTTGTCTCGTGTCCACGTGTTTTAGTTATAAAATAATGTATGTTTAATATTATTTGTATGCTTTACATTAGAAAATGTCCTTAAAATTCATTAATTTTAATTGAAAATTATTTTCTTAAAACTGAAAATCCAGTGACACATTGGGCATTGTTTTTTCTTGTTTTCCTTGCAATTTTCTTTTTTCTTTCTTTTTTTTGGTGGATGAGATATGTTAAGGGGACACAGTACGATTCAATTGATCAAAATCGGTCAAAAAATCAAATTTAATTTTTTTAGCCTAAATTTTTTTTCTATATACTTTTCTATAAGCTCACAAAATTTGAAAGCTTTAAACTTAAAAAACGCAGAATTATGATAGCTTTTACGTTCGTTTTTATTCACATCCCTATGGCAAATCAAAACTTTAAACTGCCGTATCTCAGAAAGATAAAATAACTATTTTGTCTTCATTTAAAATGCTAAGGCTTTTTTTCTATTGTGCCTAATGCCTTGAATTTTTTTTACCTATTCCCAATAGTACATGTAACAAAAGTTGGTATGCATTTTTGAATCAAAGCAATATTTATTTTTTAAAAAATAATTAAACTCAGAATTTATACATTTTTTAAGGAATTTTCAATATAAACATTCGTAAAAAGAAGTATTGTAAGAATACCAATCACGTTAACACAAAACCCATACCAACTTTTATTATACATAGTTTGATGTACTTGTAAATCAAATTTCATGCGTGTACGTCAAATTTTGTAGGAGGAGTAGCATTTTAAAATCACTTCAAAAATTTCAAGTTTTTTCCTTAAAAAAGTACATGGCTAGCTTTTTATGAAAGTTTGAGCACAAAATATGTTTAACATAGTATACATACATAGGAGGCAACCAAAAAAATATTAAAAATCCTTAAATTAAAAAATTTTGCGTAAATCGTACCATGTCCCATTAAATAAACATATATAATAAATTTAAAAATAGCATTTTGAATAATTACCTTTTTTAATACCTAGTGTTTATGAATTTAAAATTTGTTTTATGTGGTTTACAAAGTATATTAAAAGATAAACTTTTATATAACGCATTTTCCATATAACAAACTTTTTTCTGGGATTTAGCGGTTTCGTTATATAGAGGTCCGACTGTATATGTAGTGTGTGTGGAATAGTAAAACGCTAAATAATTTAAACGTATGTAAGTGCAGACAGGGTCTTGGCGTGTGCGAATGCGTACTCACACAATATCTGTTTTCTCATCCAACCTAGATGATTTGGATTACTACGGAATAGAATACAACTAATAGGAACATATGACATCATTGGAAAACTGTGCTGTTAGAGTATCAATGGTGATGGATAGGGTCCTGATGATAAATGAAATAAAATTTATATACTGAAATTCACACAGCTGGTGTTCTGGTATGATTGGGATATATATTATATATAATTCAGATTAACATCGCACCAATTTCCTCAACAATCTCTAAGTTTTCAAAACGAATGTCGAGCTTTCAGTCAAAATAAAAGTTAATTTGAGTAATTCTTCTCCAATTGGTGACATTATATAACTAATTAAATCTTGCAATCCGTGTCTATCTTGCAAACGTTCTTGTCAGTGAGGATATTTAGAGATAATTGGCGTAGAGGCGCGCTTTGTTGAGATCAAGCTCACTGAGTTGACAATGGTATATTTAATGTAGCCATGGTTGCACGTTGAGTCGTAAATAACGTCCAATCATGTGCTACGAGAACCAATCTATCTGACGAACACTGTACCAATAGTGTACAAGTCTGCCTTCTTAATAATAATGAATTCTGTCATTCAGCAACTACTGCCAAAATTGCGATGACATCATTGCTCAGATCTAAAAGTTATTTTTATTCGCCCATTGACTTTCTTCGTCTAATTACATGATTTTGTAACGCAGCTACCAGTGGGCAGAGACCATAAGTGAGTCAATAAGCAAAATGAATTTGACTGTATGTTATGCTTTGAATATTTTTTTACTGTATCAAAATATTTGAATGTTAACTGTGGAGAAAGGGGAGTGCTTAACTATTCTTTAACTAGTACCATTATAGCAAATATTTTAGTTATTCGATGGCACGGTATTTGCATTTAAAGTGTCGTTATGATTAGGTAGCTTCTAGTAACCTACTTGCTTTTTTTAATACTTAAGCAATGAGACACTGATATAATTAATAAAGAAAAAGTGAAATCGTGTAAAGCCTTCTGAAATAATAATTGTCTTCAGCCTAAAATATTTCAAAATGATAAAGTATTTATCTATTGAATGTCTGTTTTTCTCCAGACCTTAGATATTTCATTTATTTTTAAATTATTACATGGGGAATTATGTAATTTGTGTTATGTGTGCAGCATGATTACTAGTTTCGTTGCTATTAATTCACGGATCTGTGTGTGGTCCTTTTTTTTCAGTTCTTATATTGCGGAGTAACTGGAATTGCGTGTGTATGTATAAATGACATACTATATTTAAATTTGATTGATATTCCATTTTCATGGTTGTCAGCTATAAAATATTCCAAAAAAGATAAAGTATTCTTTTATGAAATGTCAGTTATTGAAGTTATACTTCTTTTGGGCGTTAGAGAAATAGGATGAGGGTAAAATTTTACAGTGCGCGCGCACCCCGTCACGGATGCGAAAATCCTTTGTCAAGAAATATACAGAACGGAACACAAATCATTCAAGCCTTCGAAATTCTTAGACAAATATTTCTCTTCACTTCCCTGAAGAAGGGGACACCCGGGTTTGAACCGGGGACCTTCTAATCTGCAGTCGAAAGCTCTACCACTGAGCTATACCCCCATGTCAGCGAACCTTTGTTTTGCGTTCCGTAGGAATGCTTTGTCTAGAAATATGCTGAACAGGACAGATCATTCCCTCTTTCAACCCCCTCCCCATATTATTGGTCCCATTCTTCCTGAGCGGGGGTGTTTAAATTTATTTAAATCGTGATTATCGCAGGTTTAGCTGGTCCGATTGACACTGAAGGTTAGTATCGTTTAACTCTGCTCGTGACCGCCTTTCGTCCTTGGCCCAGCTTGCCCTGCTAAAGATTTTTAGAAAGATTTTAATCTTGTTACGCCAAAGAAGTTTAACTTCTTACGTGCGTACATAAGTACACACACACTTTATTTTTATGGGTGTTTGAAATAAAATTATTTTCAAATTGCAATATGTGAAATTATGTATTTTTTTTTTAAATATCAGTACAACACGGTCACTAGCATTGTAACTAGTAAGCTACAGATCTAATCCTGTTTTTCCATTCATAATATTGTGTGGACTAACTGGAATTAATATACTAAATATTCAACTGAGCTTCCATTCCCATGGTACGAAATTTATGGTATAATGTATTAATCACAGAATATAAATACATAAAACTATTATCAGACCTACTATTACGTTGAAAATATTTAATCATTTGAAATACTACTTAAATTTTTTTATATATAAGCTCGCGCAATTTTAAAATTTTACGACCTGTAATTTTTTCAGAACTTTGACGTATTGTAGAAGTTTTATAAAAACATCTAAGAAACTGTATTCAGTTTTCTATAAACAATGTTAAAAAGTTAATTCTAGCAGTGGTAACAATATTTTTTTTTGCTTAGGGACAATACAGTATCTCTAACTCCTAGACAGAAAACTTATTTGAAACAACAAGAACAGCCGACACAATAAAAGAGATTTTTAGCTAAAATTTAAGCTCACTGATAATAGCATTATATTTCCCATTACTTGGTAAACAAGTATGACATAGACATCTGTGAGGGAAAAATGTTTTATCAACATATGCTCACACAAGTCTTAAAAAGCAGGAAGAATTTTATCCAATTTGTTGGCATGTAACATTCTCTTAGAAATGTTTTTAGAAGGGAAATGTCAGAATACAAGACAGCTGGGTCCTTTCTTCACTCCAATTTTAGTTTCATTTATTTGTTACTCTTTGTATTCTTTCTTTTATTCTGTTTCTTAACAGCTTCTCCTGTGAAATAGTGTTAGAATTGTTTCCTTTAATCGTACGCAGAATGAAAAAGCTACGAGAGAAATAAAGAAAAATTATTCTATTCATTCTCGATTTAATCCCAAATACCTGTCTTACCATTAGCGATTCTGAAAATTGCTTAAGTGGAAATCGTTTTTATTTATTTATTTTTTCCCCATTTTCTTTTCTTCACACAAATCACATACATTTATTTCAGTTAAGATCTTTATTGAGAATTTCAAATATATCTGTTTCTTGGCATTAAATTTGTTTGAAAACTTTCAGTATAACATGTGCTTGTTATAGGTGATTTACTTATATTGAACTTTTTCATTTTCTTTTAATAATGCCTATGGAAAAATGCACTTACACTCGAAATCTTATTTTACGATGATGATACGGAGAGCTTTTAAAGCATCTAAATGAACCATTTGATAGTTAAATACAATAATTGAATTGATTAATTATTTATTGTTTTTTAAATATATCTTAATTAGCCCCATAAATATAATTGGTATAGGGGTATCTATATCTTAATTGTAATTTATAAAAAAATGCTGATAGTAAGCAAATTAATTTAATTTCTTGTTTCGTCACTTATTTGTACTATAAATTTCTTTGCAGTTGTCATTCAGATGGCTAATAAGTCCATATCTTATTTCTATTCTTCCTGTTGTTTATAGCTATTACCGATATTTTGGATAAATATAGTACTAAACAAATTGCGATGATTTATTTCACCAAAATTTTTCATTTGAATTCATGTTTAATCAGGTACACGCAATGTGTGTGTGTGCATTTGTATTAAATAATGAAAATATACAATATAAACATAATGTGTGTGTGTGTGATGTGGACATAATAGACTCATATAAATCTCGTACTGAACGTTATATTGCTGCGTTAGCGATGTCAGCGATATTGAAGAATTTCTAGTGTTCCCAAACTTATTAAACTAATATGATAGTATGTTTTGCACTGCAACATATTTCCTGATGACGTCATGTTATAGACACATCCAAATGTTATTTTGAAGCTTATTATAACGTTTAATGCTGATATAAAGAAATATGTATATACGTATAAATTGTGAATGTGGAATATTTTACATTATAAATGAATACACTGTCTATACTGACTCGAGGATATTTAAAACAAAACTTTATATTAATGCTTTAAGTAAGCAAAATATACCAATACATATTATTTTGATTATTTTTATTGACTTAACAAACACGAGAATATGCATGAAGTTCTAAATAGAGGTAGTTTTTAACTAATTATCTTCAAAGAAACAAACAAATACGTTCCTCCCAACAGTCTATTTTTTAATGTTTAATTTATAATTTTAAAAAAATCTAAAAATTAAGTAATGTTAATGCGTTATCTAGACATTTTGTAACCAAATAACTTTCTGAGGATAATGATTGTAAGTTTTTCTCATGGAGCAGGCATTTCTAAGGTTGAAACATCTAACAATTTGAAGTACTTTCAACAAGTTTTCCCTCGTCACATCGCTACCGTTCTCTTAAGATGCTACACAATACTAGCATGAAACTCTCGAAGAAATTTTATATATATTGATGACTTAGAGTAGGGGGGTTGAATAATTAAAATACAGGAAAAACATATTGTTCATATTTTGAAATACGCCACCATTTACTTGTTACGGTTCAGTTGTAAATAGGCATGCATCAACATTTGATGCTCATTATTGAAATAAAGATTTGGAAAAGTAAAGTGGGAGGCAAGATTGACTAAATAATTTGCGACTAATCCTCACTACTTTGCTAATTTAAATGTCAGAAAAGAAATGTTTTTATTCTTCAATATCACTTGTAGAATCTTCCACCATTTAATGGACTTTGGCTACAAAAAGTCGCAGTCACATTGACTTCAGATTTCATACCTTTAGCACCACAACATATATGGCTTGTGGATTATTAAATGACTTTCAAGTTCTCTGACTAGCATGAACCGAGACTCAGACGTTAGAAAGGTGTGTATATTTATAAAACAATAAAGTTCCGGCACTCTCTAAAAGTATTCTGAAATTTCCCGGCAAAAAGAGTTGCAGTTTGAGGTAAGGATGTTATTTAAATTAGTACTTAGCCGCATTGTAAATTAGATTAAATTCATTGTTTACTTATCCATGTGTTCATTTGCTTATGTATTCAATACATAATTTTTAATATGGAAGCAAACTTATTCGTATAATTGTTTTGATTTTTTTTTGCCAAAAACTGCGAAGACATTATTACATATGTCACAAAATTTAATTTTCGAATTGTAAAATATCTTTCATATGCTGCTCTTGTACCAGTTTCATTTTATTATGCTACTTATTTTGCAATCCCATTGCGTTAATATAGAGAGGAAATTAACTTGATGTTTTTGTTATATTATTCAGTCTTTGGAAAGCTTTATTTTTTTTAGCTGCAAGAGATAGCAAAGTTTGCATTTCTAAGTCTAGTTTAATTTTCTCGGAAAATTTTTTAAGCAACTAAAACCGTGTTATAAAAATTTTCTTGTCGTATAAAATGGTACTCGAATATTGTTTCCCCAAAATAACTGTTTAAAGTTCAAGTTATCCTTACACCTTATTTTAAAACCGAGCAGTCTAATTAAAAACCTCTTTACGAATTTCTTCATTGGAATTTATATAAAGTATACATATATATATAAATTTTGTGATAATTCGATTATTATTATAAGTTTTAATGAACTATAGAAATAATTATTTTAGAAATTATAATGATTTATGCCAGAAGAAATATACATAATTTCCTAAAATGTCAAAATAGTTTATGAAAAGTATATGTTTCAACAACATGGCATTTGAAAGAAAGAAATTATGGTTTTCATCTTTTTTACTTCTCATTCATTATTTACTTGTAGGATTTTTAATATTGAAAACATGAAAAATTGTGTAGCCATTGAAATTATTTAAGTAATAGTGTGAATGGATCTCACTTATAGTTTTAAATTTGTCTTCTATTTTTCAAATTTTGATATTTAGAAAATTTTTAAGCACATTTCACAGTAATAGGAGGTTAAAATGTCAATTTTTATTTTGTTAAATAACTATGTACAAATAAGAAGGTAAGAAATGAAACGAAATAGAAACAAATTTATTTTATTTTTCTTTCAAAATTGTAATATTGGATAAAATTTTAAAAGGCTCAGAATTGAATTCACTTAAAAGTAAAACAAAAAAAAGTTATGCTTTGTAAGATACTGCGAATAAGTTTATTTTTAAGTTTTTAATTTTTTTTTTTTTAGGAATTTATATATTTTCATGCTTGTTTTAAAATAAATAAATCTATATAAATATACATTTTTCATAAATTATAACTGTAGTCACTAAATATTTTCAAAATAAATTGCATTTCTGTATTCAACAGAAACGATGATTGGACGTGAAAATAGATTTTTTGATTATTAATTTACTTTATTTAAGCAAAATTATTTCATAAAAATCAGTTGCAAAAAAGAATCAAATGGTTCCTTTAAAATATAAATAGAAATATTATGTATTTATATGTTAAATGGGAAGTAAAATGAGATTACCGAATTTAAAAAGAAATAGCATATTCAAAATATTCCTAATACATTTTTCGTTTAATCTGAAACAAAATAAATTGAAATTCATCAAATATATTGATCCACAAGAAACGCATCCCCCCCCCCTCAACACAAATGTACAATTTAATTGATGCAATTGAGAAGTAAGATAACAAACTCACCTGTAAAATTTCTAAATAAACATATAAAAGCAATACTTAATTTATTGGGAACAAAATCTATTAGCAAT